TCATCTAAATAATAAAAAAAATAAATGAATTGAAATTTATAAAACTAAAAATAGAAAGTTAATAAAAATATATTTTTTAGTAAAATAAACATGGTAAAATATGAGAGGGTTAGTTTCTCAAATATCCTCAAATCCTATATTTAGCAATAACAACATCATCTTTTTCTTTGTCTATTCTAGGGTTAAATGAAAATCAAGATTTAAACAAATTTACTTCTTTCTCTTAATTTTATTTTATTTTTGGCGAACACCTTGTCTACTCTCACTCCTCTCTCTTTATTCCCTAGTTATTGCATCCTTTTTATTCTTTGATGTCGTCGTCAAATAGTACTTTTGGTGAAAATAATGAAGTTTGAACATCACAATATAGATGATGTTGGATGTATCCTATCCTTTAGCTACCATTGCAACCACATGGGATTTCAATATATATTTTTTTATTTTAGAATTCTTGTTTAAGAGTTAATACATAGCATATTACAATGAAAATTAGATAAAACAAATACAGATATAATATGATAGTAATGACAAAGTGTAGGAAAGACAACTTAATGATATAAAAAATAGTAGTTGATGTTATTTATAAAAAATTTTATCATATTTATTTTCAACTTAATATTATTTATGTATTACCAAAGGATTAGTAGATAGTTTTAATGAAAAAATATCCTTTTTTTTTAATTATATCTATTTTTATTAAGAAAATATTTTTACATGTTTTTGTTTAATTTTGATTTCATTTTTACGATTTGAATAACAATGAGATATTTTATAAATTTTAGGGATGAAATTAAAATTTATTTATCATTTCAATTACCATTCTAAAAAAATAATATAAATTATATATTAAAACTTTATATAGCAGTTTAATCTTTTAAATTGAGATAATTTTTTAGAGTGATATTAAAACTTTGATAATCAAATAATCACGAGTTGAAATCTTATATTATGTTTTTTAACATTTAATTTTATTTTTATGTATTATGTGCTATCTCATCAAAACAAAATTATTAATGATCAATTAATTATTTGAAGATACATCCCTTTTATATATATATATATATATATATATATATATATATATAAAAGGCTATTCCTGTTATCTTATATAATTTTTAAGTTTGAGCAGAAAAACGCAAAAGATACATCACGGATACCATCTCTTAAATATTATTAAAAACTGAATATAATTTTTAAGTTTGAACAGAAAAATGCAAAAGATACATCACGGACACCATCTCTTAAATATTATTAAAAACTGAACACAGAAATACATCCACATGGCTTTCCAACATCTAATTCTCTAAAATATGCTTCAACTAGCAATAATTATATAAAAGTGTTAAAAAAAAACTTCAAGATAGAATTATTAATTTATTTTGATAGCTTAGCTGTTTTTTAAGTCAAACATAAAATATTAAATTTTAATTTTCCCTCTTAAGCTATATATATTGTCTCAATTTCATCTAAAACTTTTTAATTTGTTTCAATGAGCACTCCTATTTTTAATTGTTGTTGAAATAAACTCCCAATCTTTAATTCAATTTTGCTCCAATTTTCCTCTCTTCGTTCATTATATCAGAAATAGTAATGAAAAATGTTTCTAAGGTTTTATTTCAACTTTCAAATTTATGAAGCATCTCAGTGTCACCCAAAAAAGTAAAGAAAAACTAAATTATTTTAAAATTAACAAAAACATAAAATCAATAAGGAAAGGAGAGTATATTAAGTTTTAATAAAACAAATATGATAGAAATTAAAATGGTTAATGACGAGTTAGTATTTCCAACTCAATATTTTCATGCTTTAAAAGAGCTTAAGCCTCTAATAGGATGATAACTCAAGTAAACATGAATTTAATAAATTGTCAGACCCAATATATTTGAACTTAACAACTTGCTGAGTCTAAATGAATATGAATCTGATAAGTTTCCAGATCCAATATATTTGGGTGTAGCCATGAGCTGAACTTAAGTGCATGTAGTTCTTACAAGCTTACAGATTCAATGTATTTGGGTTCAACCATGAGCTGAGTTCAAGGTATCGCGAGTCTGACAAGTTGCCTTATTTAATATACTTGGATTTAGCTATAAGTTGAGCCTAAGACATCATGAGTTTAACAAGGTGTCAAACCTAATATGCTTGGGTTTAGTCATGAGTCGAGCTCAAGGCATAATGGGTCAGGCAAGCTATCAGTCCTAATATACTTGGGTTTAGTTAGGAGCTGAGTCTAATGCATCGCAAGTTTGACAAATTTCCAGACATAATATATTTGATTTCAGCCATGAGTCAAGTCCAAGTCACCATGAGTCTAATAAACTTTCACATCTGTTTTTTTTTATTTAACTATTTGTCAGACTCAGTTGGTCCAAATTCTATCGTAAGACTTATTAACATGACTATTCATGCCATAATAATCATCTCCCTATATTTATAGGTGTATAAATGATTTTCCAAGAGTATATCACATTTCCCTCTTGTTAATAATCATTAAACGATATTTATCTCTTATTAATGATGTGTCAAAGATTTGTTCCCCTCATTAATGCCATCAAGACTAGATGACTCTTTAGTTCCTTCACTTCGTAAAAAATTACTAGGTTTAGAGAGTATAAATACACTTTAAATCACTCAGTTAAATGATTCATCTTTTCTATTTTGCAAGCATCTATACCTTAACTTTTATAGCATTTATCATACAAAAATAAAAATAAATATTCTTGTTCTTGAAATCTAAAGTTTTTTCTTTTATTTCTTGCAATCTTAATTTAAAATTATTGACTTTATTATCATAGGATTTCTAAATCCCATAAAAAATTGTTTTACAGGTATAAGAACTTCTATCATTTATTATATTGAGATGAATATTTGATTAACTACTATTCAAATATAAAATAATTTTATTCTTAAATATATTGGATTTTAAAATATTAATAATTAATTTTTAAAAAACATACTCCCATTCTATCATTCTCACTTTTCACCGTCATATATATTTTACTTTGTTAGTTAATATTAAAATTAAATAAATTCAAATAAATTTAAGATGACAATGAACTCGTCCTATCCTTATTCTATCATTCCAAACATGTGGAAATTTTTTTTTTTTTTTCTCTTTGTTCAAGATTTTATTAAAAAATTTAATGAAAAACTTGATAAAATATGTAGATATGATGAGAGAGAGAGAGAGAGAGGCACCAACTATAATGGTCACGTTGTTTTTTCTTTTTTTTTCATTATATGTTTTTATGCTTGATCTTATTCTTGTATTATCAAAAGATCAGTGGCTAGTGTTAATGAAAAAAAAAAAATCTCTGTCTATCTTATTTGTTTTATTGAAAAAAATATCTTTCTTTAAATTTGAATCTCTTCATTCTTACCTTTTGAGTTATATTGAAATATTACATTAACTTTGGAGATAAAGGGGAGATTTACATATTTTGATTGAAATTGACGAAATGGAGAGGGGAACGAATATCAAAGACACGGGACGTGATTAAAACAAATAAAAGATTTTATGTGAAATGAAGACAACAGGGAAAATTGAGACTTAGCCAACATAAAATGTTTACTTTTAATTAGTTCGTAGGCTGGCTTTTCTGAGATAGAACTTTCACAGGTTCCTTTCGACCTTTCTTGAACAAGCTAGCACAGCATAACCCTAGAGCAACATGTAACCTTTAATTTGGCCACTCAGACAATAATTAGTACGTAACTTTCTATGATTTAATAATCCAACTAATAGATGTCTACCTAGCTAGTTTATGGCTTTACGACCACAAAATTAATTTAGGAAAGAATGAGGGAAAAGAGGAAGACTTTCTGGTTTCAGAGACTAGCTGACAATTAGGATGCCGTCCTCTACAACTAATATTGGTCGACGAGTCAACAGTCAACATTCCAACTTCAGGCACTGTTTAAGAACATGGTGGAAACCGTGTTCTATAAAACTTTAATTTTTTATTAAAAATTAATTTTTTATATGTTTTGAATTGTTTTGAAGTGTTAATTTTAAAAAATAAAAATATTATTTTAATATAAAAAACATTTTAGAAAACAACTATAATTATATTATTAAACAGTCACTTAGTAGAAGTGGTAATTGGCAGTGTTCAACAAAATTAAAAAATTGTTGTCTAAGCAAAATCTTCCTTCACCTAATACTTTGATCTAATTAATTTATTGCAAGAACTTATCCAAGCTATTAATAGAATAAAAACCTATTTCTCGCTACTCAATAGACGAAGAAAAAAATCCATAGAGAATCCATCGAATTCCAAAACCGTTGTATCATGATGATCATGTCCTCTCATCGATCAGACGTTGCTCAGAAGATACAAACAAGTGGATTAATAATCTTGTTTCAATCAATATGAATAAGGTGCAGGGTTTGCCACCTTTGCTTGATTAAGCCTACGTGTCATGCTTAGCATATCCTTAATTAGCACAAAATCAAAATGCATGCATGAGTTATTGAAGTTTCCCAAACGTTAGTCCAAAACCAGTTTCAAAAAGCAAGCTAGATACCCAACTTAAGGAAATTATGTTAAAAATGGGCTTGGACTATAGTCAGTAGAGGACAGCAAGTCCTGTGTTTGAAATAATAATATTCGTTTTCTAGTTTCCAATCTGCCAAATTTCAAAAAGCTCACGAACCCCTTTTGAAAAACTATGTGGTTGCCTTGCCATCAAAGGAAGAAAATTAGTTCTACTTGCTTCAGACCTTTATTTATTTATTTATTATTATTTGTTTTGCTTCGAAAATCGTAGCCATATACCCTTTGTGCAACAGAAGCTGATGCATCCCCCAGTAACCCACGCTCTTTTGTGATTGGTTGATGGCGGGCGCGTGACTCGACATTCCTCATCTAACAAGCAACCTTTGAAAGAGAATGCATCTGCCACGCATGAATGGGGCAACTTCTACGTAACACAAAGTCAAAAGCTTGCCAAACCTTTGAACGTAGCAAAGACATAAATTACATTGTTGTTCACTGCCTTTTCGTTTGTATAAATAGACTCTTGTATTGCAACAAGGAACGTGCAAGAAGCTCATTATTGGAGAGAAGAAGGAGATAGCTTCAAGAAAGACACAGGTTTAATAAGATGTATATGGCTGCAGCAAAGGCGGATGCCATGCCGATCATAAGCAAGTTATATTGTTCGTCTTCTCAAGTAGTGCTTGTTGTTAGGAAAAGGCCTCATGTTGTCAGCGGAGGGGGTTTTGTCGTCACAGATTGTAGCCAAAAGGTTGTTTTTAGGGTTGATGGATGTGGAGTTATTGGCACAGAAGGGGAATTAATATTACGTGACAGTATTGGTGAAGCCTTGCTACTTATTCGTAGAAAGGTACGTAGTATATATCCATTAATTCATCTTTTGATTAGACATTATATATTATTCCATTCACAAGAGCTAGCTAGCTAGCTCCGCTATCAAGTATTCTTCTTGTTTTTGGACTGCTTCAAAACTGAAACAGCATAATATCATTCATGTACGCACCTATAGAGTATTTTAAAGGGCCAAATCATGTGCATTTTACCCTGGAATAAATAAAATTTAAACATGGATGGGAAAATGTATCCATACACGTTCATCATGCAATCCGATATGTAAGTTACCTTGGCTAATAGCACGGTGTTTTAATTTGGTTCCTTCTGTTTTTTTTTTTTTTTTATCCTGCAGGGAGGCATGGTTCAGGCCTTAAGCATCCATAGGAAATGGAAAGGTTACACTTATGACTATGAAGGATCACAGAAGCTGGTTTTCAGCTTAAAGGAACCAAAATTCTCTTGTCTGGTAAGGAACAATGCAATAAGAGTTTCCACTGAGCCTAGAAGAAGCAACAAAGACTGGGACTTTGCGATCAAAGGTTATTTTCCTGATCGGTCTTGTAGCATTGTTGACTCCTCGGGCAATATTGTAGCTCAGGTATGTGATCTATGTTCCGCAATTGGTATTTCATGGGCAAATGACACGTTTTGTCCGTCATCGTAATCTTATCTCTTTTTATTCTTAATTTCTTCTCTTATACAATTTTTTCTTTTTATAGGTTCTTTCCTCTAACTTACAATTACATTAAGGATACATGATTATGTATTTTCCAATGAAACTCTGGCAGTTTAAGTTTCATGTGTTTGATTGATGAGTTATTCACTAAACTATATATTAAAAAATGAGACACAAACAAAAAATTAAATTGTTTTTTTTTTAATAATTCAAGGTGTTCGAATCAATATATCATAACTAATTTCTGAATTTATTGAACACTTTACAAGTCTAATAAACAAGTAAAATATTACGAGGGAGACATACATGTACAGAGAAAATTAAATCCAAGTGCAAAGGAAGGAAACAAATTCCTTTTCTCGCCACGACCTCAAGTGAAATTGAATTGTTTTTAGTTACATATTATTTTTTTTAATTACATGTGTTAGATTCTGATAATTTAAGAAAATACTGTTCTTCCTTTCTTGGTTATTGCTTTTTTATAGTCTCTTTTCTCAATTTGATTGAACCGTAAGGCACAATCCTTGACGGAATCATAAGAAAAAATATTATGAACTTTTAAAAAAGACAAAGATGCTAACATGTGAATTGTTTTAATTTCTTCAATACCACACAGATTGGAATCAATAAGGAAGCAGACCAGTTGATGGCTAACAAGGATTTCTATCATGTAGTTGTAAGACCAGGCATGGATCAGGTTTTCACTTTCGGTGTCATTGCTGTTCTTGATTATATCTATGGTGAATCAACGAGGTGCTGATCCAGAAGTTGTTCAAATGTGAAGCTACAGTTCTTGTCACGTTTAAAAAATGTCGAATTAGTAGCTTTTGTCTCCTGAAAGCCAATGCTAGCTCAACATCCCTATTTTCTTTTTTCTTTTTCTTTTTATGGTTAAATGAACTAGTTGGTACCCTTTGTAAGTATATCTTTGCATAACTATCATGGTTGAAATTTAATATAAATTATATTTTTAGATTTTATTTTATTTTTTAAATTAAATTAAATGGATTCTTTAATATGATACTAAAATTTTAATATTAAGTGATCACAAGTTAATCTCATTATATTTATTTATTTAATAAAATTTAAACATAAAATAATATAAATTTTTATAATTTTTATATTAAAATTTTTTTATTAAAAAAATAGTGAAGAACGTAAGCCACTCCATTTCCTAACAACTTTATTTTTTTAAATTGAAATGATTCTCTAAAACGCCTAGATGCTTATATTAATCAACTACGAGCAGCACAAGCTATAAATTGCCCAAAGAAGGACGTAGGCCCCTCCATTTTCCTTTAATTTCTTCTTAAATGAATTTGCCTTCGTTTCAAAGGTATCTAGCTGACATTGAATCGGTCTCCTTCATCAAGTACAGCGGCGGGAGAAGAAGAAGCATTGGAGATGTGCAATTGTGGCTTTTTGAACTGTCTAGGCCTCAGGAGATATTACCACCACGAGGACAAGAGTAGTTTACCTGAGAAAATAAATAAATAAACAAACACGAGAGCAGTTATAATTGAATCTTCAGCAATCACGCCACCCTAATTTCTAGTGAAGGATAATAGTCCCCCCATTGGTTTCACAATATAAGAAGTTATATATATATATATATATCAAAGTAAATTTCTCAAGAAAATTTGAAGGACTAAAATTGTACATTAATAAAATATATCAATCAGTAAAATCTGTTAGTAATTTATCAATAAAAATATTCTACTGATATTTCTATTTGAATTTATCAATTTAATAGTGTATTGATAATAAAACAATAATAAATAGATCTTTTAAACATATAAAAATAAAATAAAATAAAATAAAAGGCATTTTTATTATACACATAATTTATTATTCACTATAATAATGTCATTGCATTTTCTCCCTTCCCCAGAAAATCAAATGCATTGGTTTTAGGTATATTTAGAGACATTAGTCATTAAATAATTAATTCGGGGTATAAGTGTTCTTGTTTCTAAGTTTTTTAATGGCATTAAAACAACCAGGTACATTCCAAGTCAAGAAATTTAAAATTGAGGAAGGAGGGTATCTTTGTTTTTTTAATTTTTTAAATATATAAAATGATAAAATTACTCATGAAATAAAAATAAATAAATCATGCATCGTCTTTTAACTCCAATTTCTTATTATTACCAAGTTCATCGAGTACAGTTTATCACTATTGTAGCTTTTTATTTTCTACTTTGTCCTTTTCTATAAATTTGGTCATTTTTATTGTTAATATTTCAATTCTAATTTTTATTTTTTTATTTTTAATATATTTTTTTATTTTTTAAGAGTTTTTTTAATTCATCATTCAATTCTATTAATTATTTTTTTCTTATTATTTTGATTTTTAATTTTTTTTTTATAATTTATTGATTTTTAATTTTATCATTCAATCTAGATTTACGGTATATTATTTTTTTAATTTGATATTTATTTTTTAAAGTTATTTTTCTTTTCAATCTCACCTTTCACTAAAAAAAAAATTTATAGTTGTTGTTTAATTTATTTTTATTTTTATCATCATTTTTTTAATTACTATTTTTTTAATCTTGGATCCTTTGTCTAATTACTTTTTTTTTTTCAATTTCATTTTTCAACATGTAATTTATTAAGGATTAAGTATTGTGATTTTTCCATGTTTGGTATTTTTGGTCTAATAATCTAAATCATGAGTTTAAAAAATTAATGATGGTTAATATTTTCTTTTATTTTCTTTTTGACTTTATCATTCGACATTAATTTTTTATTTATAAAAATTTTCTTTATAGTTTTTTTTATTTCTTTTCTATCGAGTTATTCTTATCTCATAATTTAGAGTATGAATTTTACGAGTTAACCTGAGATAACTTATATGTTTATTATATTGACTCGAGTTGATCTATATTTTTTTTTTATTGTCTTATCTAATTTTATTATTTTATATTTAATTAATTAAAAATTAATTAATATTATTTTTATAATATTAAAAAAAAATATTTTTTTCAAGTTATTGTTGTTATACCTTTTTGTCTTTTACACGCAATTAAAATAAAATCAGTTTATTTAATTATTAAGGGCTAGAGTCGTAAAGTTTTCTTTTTATTTAAAACATGCTTGTAGTACTTTTTTTAATATTATTTTTTAAGAAAAAAAATTAATATAAACTTGCAGCATAGCACGCGGATACACGTCTAGGATGAACTAAAGAATATACGGATTTATGAAAAAAGTAGCCCTATATTTGATACCGAGGGCTAATGTTTTGGTCTTTTATCGGTCGAGAGTTGAGACCGAGGCTTTAGCTTTTGCTGTGGCAAATTTATTAAAATGCTAAAAGCAAAGCATGTTATTCTCTGTTCAACTTGTCGAAGCTTTTGGATTCATGTTCTTTCCTTTTATTCATGAAACTCTCGACTGTTTTTTTTACTTGAATTCTTTGCGGATACGACTTCCACGAAAATAAAATAAAATAAAATAAAATAAATACTTTCACGAGGCATCCCATTATAGCATGCCCAAGACAAATTGCTAGCAATGATGACTAGTGCATTAATTTTATTGATTTATAGCCTAGTAAAATTTGTAGCTTACCGATTATCCATGGCTGGATATGTTAACAAAAATTTAAAAGATGAATTTAATTTACTGTTCACATCTTTGCAAAGTAATGTGTAATGCTTTTTTTTTTATTTTATCTTTTAAAATTGTGTTTATTTATAATTTGTTTCAATCTCATATTATAAATTATAAGCTTAATTTGATGGGTTAACCCAAGTTAACTCGAATTAATTTTATATTTTTTTTTACTTGATTTTTTTAATTTATCCTTTAATATTTGGATGGTTGAGAATTAGATTTTATAATTTATTTTGATTTGTTTTCTATTACGATATCCTAGTTTTATAACCCAACTTGCTAATTTGACAGGTTAACCAAGATTGACTTAATTTTTTTTAATTTTATCATTTAATATTTTATTAATTAATAATTAAACTTTTTAAATTTATTTAGATTTAATTTTTATAGAATTATCACGGATTTATGATTCGAGTTATAGATTTATCAAGTTAACTTAGTTGGTTTTAATCCATTGAATAAATTATTGTTTCAATATTAAAAACATATAACTTTTATTTTTTAAATTAAATTATATTTTTATTAATTTTTTAAATTATTTTTTACCTTATTAAGTTAATGGATAACATTAAACTAACTTTTATATATTTTAGATTTTATCCCATTATGTATTTTTAGATGGACAATGTACTCACTCGCTTCTCTCGTTTCCTCTCTCTGTTATCCCTTACTATTAAAAGCCTACTCGAGTGGGCTTTTTACTCTCCATTATCTTTCATCATTAAAATACCTACTCCAGTGTGCGAGGTTCTAGCCCAGCGGTGGGAGGGACTTGTTCCTTTTCTCCGCACCTAAGTTGGAGTCTTACCGCGCACGCCTGTCATTCCCGCGGTGCCTTACATGCTCAATGGGCTTGTAGGATATTTAGTAAACTATGAGGATTAGTCGTGAGGTGCGTAAGCTGATCCTGATACCCCACATAAATTAAAAAAAAAACCTACTCCAGCTCGAATAGGTTTTTTAATGGTGAGGGATAACGAAGAGAGAAAATATATTAGGCTTTAGATGGCGAGGGATAACGGAGAGACAAAATGAGATAAGTAAGTGGGGTCAATATTATATTTAAACTTTGTAAATTTATTTAGATTTAATTTTTATAGAATTATCACGGATTTATGATTCGAGTTATAGATTTATCAAGTTAACTTAGTTGGTTTTAATCCATTGAATAAATTATTGTTTCAATATTAAAAACATATAACTTTTATTTTTTAAATTAAATTATATTTTTATTAATTATTTAAATTATTTTTTACCTTATTAAGTTAATGAATAGCATTAAACTAACTTTTATATATTTTAGATTTTATCCCATTATGTATTTTTAGATAGACAATGTACTCACTCACTTCTCTCGTTTCCTCTCTCCGTTATCCCTTACCATTAAAAGCCTACTCGAGTAGGTTTTTTACTCTCCATTATCCCTCACCATTAAAAAGTCTACTCCAGCGCGCGAGGTTCTAGCCCAGCAGTGGGAGGGGTTTGTTCCCTTCCTTCGCATCTGGGTTGGAGCTTTGTTGTGCACGTCTGTCATTCTCGCGGTGCTTTACATATTTATTGGGCTTGTAGGATGTTCAGTAGACCGTGAGGGATAACAGAGAGATAAAATAAGATAAGTAAGTGGGGTCAATATTATATTAATCACTATAAAATGTTCTTGAAAGGACAAAAACATCCCCATTAAAAAGCATCTTAACAACAATTAACGGGGGTAATTTGTGTCAAATTGAAAACTGGAATCAAGCTTTTTCTTCACTGTTTTCATTAGAATTAGAATGTCGTCTATATTTAGCATTTGTTTTTTTTTTTCGTGACAAAAAGAAAAAAAAAACTATTAAGACAGAAAGGCATTTGGTTGTGAAGAAAGAAATAGAAAACAAGTTTATATATATATATATATATATATATATATATATAATTTTTAACAAACCTTATGTCTCTCTGAGAAGAAAGGATAGAGAAAATAAAAATAAAGACAACCAAATTATTTTTTCCCGTAAGTATTCTTTGAAACATTTTATAATTTCAATATCTATCATTACATTCAAATCTAGACGCTTGATTTTAATTTATTTATTTTTCACTATAAAACTAAAAAAATATAAAATTATAAAAAATAACAAATATAAATAAAAGAGAGAAACAAAGGAGGCAACATGTCAATCCAATATATTATGTTTTTTTTTAATTAACTCATTTGCAAATATGTTTTATCACACACATTCATATTAATATTTTAATTTTAAAAATTATCTTTTAAGAATTTAAATTAACGAGGACTTAATTAAGAAGGAAGTTGAAGATTAGGGATTGATTTTA